TTTCTTCTCCAGCTCATTTTACAGATGAGGAAACTGAGGCAAACAAGGTTAAGTGACTTGCCCAGGGTCACACTGCTAGTAAGTGCCTGAGGCCAGATTTGAACTCAGGAAGATGAATCTTCCTGACTCCAGGCCTAGCACTCTATCCACTGTCCCACCTAGCTGCCCTGTAGAGTCAGAAAGACGTGAGTTCAAATCTAGTCCCAGACACTCACTAGCTGTATCACCCTGCGTAAGTCGCTCACCCTGTTTGCTTCAGTTTCCTCATCTGTAAAATGAGCTGAAGAAGAAAATGGCAAACCACTCCTGTATCTTTTTCCAAGAAAGCCCCAAATGTGGTCACAAAGAGCTGGACACAACTGAACAAAAAATGTCTTTTGAATTTCTAAAATGTGGTTCCCAGGACTGAACACAATACTTTAGACATGGCCTCATTCCTGGACAGTACTGTCTACTGTCACATTACTTTTGGGTGTCCCATCACACTATTGACTCATGTTGAGCCTTGCGGTATACTAAACAGCCCAGATCCTTTTCTGACAGCCTTGTCTAGCTATGCTCCCCTACATGTACTTGTGGAATTGCTTTTTAACCCAAGTGTGCTACTTTGCATTGATTCCTTTTAAACATAATCTTATTAGATTTGGCCCAGTGTTCTAGCCCTGCTGCACTCAGAATCCTGACCCGCCTCCAGCACATTAGCCATCCTGCCTGGCTTTGTGCCACCTGTAGATTTGATAAACATGCCATCTATGCCTGCATTCACGAAAATGAATCAAGAAAACAAAGCGCAGGTCTTCCGACATTGGACTGTGGTCCTATCAGTTACCTACCCACCAAAGGTCCTCAGGAAGGGACCGTCTTCAGCCAGGAAATCGAAAAAATGAGAACAGGGTCTTGTTAAGTCCTTGGGCCTGAGGCTTGGCTAATAAGACATATGGTCAGGATTATTAGCTGGAGCGGAGGCAACAGCTCACTGTGGATATTGGAACAACACAGAAAGACTTTAAAAGGGTCATGGCATTTTCTTTTTTTCTTGATGATTTTTTTTTTTCTGGGGGAAATTTTTATTCTTTTTCAGCCCCTGATTTACTTGGTTTGGCTTTAATGAAAAATAGGTGGTGATTTATAAGTGTAGATGGCTGTTTTTTTCTGCACATCTGGTGGCCTCAAATTAAAATTCATGCATTTAGACAGCTACAACTGCTCATCATGACTTTTAAATCACTGGGAATTCAGGCTTTTAGAAGGCAGCAGTGTGGTACTGTGGAGAGAGCCCTGGACTGGAAGTTAGGAGGCCTGGGTTCTAGTCCCTGTTCTAACACCAAGTGATGTTGGGTAAGCCACTTCCTTTCCCCTGGCCCTCTGTTTTCTCCTCTGAAAATGGAGGGGCTGGTAGACGATCTGAGTAATGACTTGCAGCTCAACATTCAAGGTACTACATATGAAGATACAAGATACTAGAATGAAGTCTTCTGTAAGGCTATGTACATAGATGATATATCAGAATAGAATCCCTCTCCCCCTTTTCTAAAGAGAAAAGTATTGGGGGGGAGGGGAGAAGGGGAGCATGAAAATATAACCCTTTAAAAACCTCAGTAGACCCTAAAGAGGCAAGGGCAGCCTCCTCGAAGCTCTGGCACCAATAGCAACGTTACTATTAAATAAGGCAGCAAAAGATTAGGCAGCAGGTCACGAAAGGCTTCTGGAAATGATCCTAATTCTCCTTTGTGGATTTTGCTTTCCTTACAGAAAGAACTTAGTTATGAGTTTGTAGAGGACCAGCAGGCAAGCTCAAGAAGAGGAGGGGACTTGATACTCTGCTCTTCCAAGGGTCCGCGAGCTGTACCAGTGGCCAGATTTACTAGCACCTTTGAACCAGGAGGAGTTTTCAGTGTCCTTCAGAGAGCAGCTTTGTGTTGGCAGTTCAGACATCCCGGTTTCCTTCTTTCTTCCCAGAAGGTGCCAAGATGTTGGTTCCTGGTAAACCTCCAGTATCTCTTCATCAGCTGGCCCTGGTGTTCTCTCTCTACCCTGAGGCTAAACAGATGCTCCCCACTCCAACCTACCTCCAACCCAGAGGTCTGGGAAGGGATAAATTGTTTTCTGTTTATTAATCACCTGTAAGCAGATGGGAGCCAATAGGAAGCCCATCAGGAGTAGAATCTTTGGTAAGGAATCAAGGCGTATTAAAGGGACAGTGTAGTCCCCACACCTTCTGACTTCGCTTGAGTCAACTGCCGAATCTACTTTCCATCTCCAAGGAGGCAGCATGGTGTAGCAGTGGGGAAAGTGGGGAGAACAAAACACCACCACCAGACTTGGAAGTCAGATCTGGATTCTAGTCCTGTGACTGTGACCTTGGACAAGTCACTTAATTTCTTGGATCTCAGTTTCCCCTCTATAAAATGAGAAGTTGGACAGATGACTCCCCAGCTCTAATATTGTGAGACTGTTAGAACTATTGGGAATAGTCTTAGCATCACAGGATTGAGAGCTGGGAAGGACCTAGAAGTGACCCAGAAACTCAGTTCTCCCACTTGCTACCTAAATGACCTTGGACAAGTCACTGTCTCTGGACCCAAAATGGGGGCTGTTGTGGTGGACTTAGATGACTTCTAAGATTTCTTCTGTCTCAAAACCTATGATCCATTAAACCTTAGAATATTCATCTAGTTCCTTTCCTTCCAACTATTTTAAAATGATGTTACACACTCAAAGAATTCAGGTGACTTTTCACACAGGCAGTAAGCACTGTAGCAGAATTGCAACAGAAACTTGAACCCAAATCTTGACTCAAGTCCAGGTCTCCTTCCATTAAACCAAGCTTTCCCTCCTTTGACAGGGACTTATGAAGTACTAACAGTCTGTTTGAAACCCCAACTCCTGGATGGAAGAGCTACATTCCTTTAAAAAAAAAATTATGCAAAACCAATTGGGAACAAAACATTGGAGAAGCTCAGCCTGCCAAACCAAACAGTATTTGTCTAAGCAAACACCTTTATTTAGGTTGCAAGTGTATTCAAAATGGATACTTTGTTTCCACCCTTTTAGAAGAATAAAGATCCACTTTGGGATTCTATTGATCTCCGGGAGGATTCTTGGAGAAGCTTTTAAAGCCACAGGGGCTGTTCCTTCCAGCAAGCTCTGCTCTCCTACTCCTCTCCCCACCACTTCCCAGGCCTAACCTTTGGCCTGGAAAATCTCTGGAGTGGGTATCTCTCTGAGATGGCAAAAGAATAGATGGTTCAAGTGTCTCCCAAAAACACGTTTTGTAGGCAGACCTGGGTCTTGCCTGGGACTCTCTACCAGACTTAGGAAACTGGCAGGTGTAATTAAGTGACTCGGGTTACTGTATTAATCATAACTAGGAGCCCGCAGAGTGAAGGAACCAACATCATAGTGGTGGTAGTGGTGGTAGTGTAGTAGTAGTAGTAGCAGTAGTAGCTACTAGCATTTCCATGGCACTTTCAGGTTTGCAAAACACTTAACATTTCATTTTATCTTCACCACAACGCTGAAAAGAGGTGCTATTATTATTCCCATTGTACAGATGAGAAACTGAGGCAGAGTTAAGTGACTTGCCCAGGGTCACACAGCTAGTAAGTGTCTGAGGCCAGATTTGAACTCAGGAAGATGAGTCTTCCTGACTGCAGGCCTGGCACTCTGTGCACTATGGCGCCACCCAGCTGCCCTACTGAGTCTACCTAGCTTCATCTTATTCCAAAAGGCAGCACACTCTCCCATTAAACCATGCTGACTTTATGATCATCAAGAGACATGGTGTGGTCACGTGACAGAATGTACATTTGGGGGCCATGGTCCCACACAGACATTTTGGGGCCCCTTCAGGACCTTTTCTTTTGCCAAGCAGAAAGTGTCTCATTAAAAATGATTCTGTGCTAGGAGAAGAAGGATGGAAGAGACCCAGTAGGGCTAAATTTGTGGCAGCCTGGGCTTTGCTTAGTGAGGTCCTTGCTTAATAAGAAGGCCTGTTAGAAAAACACTGAAAGACTTGCATGAAACATCTGAGAGTGAAACAAGCAGAACTAAGAGAATGTTGGATACACAAATAGCAATATTGTTCGAAGACTAAATGTGAATGACTAAGCGAGTCTGACTTGTATGAATACTCAAATCAACTACAAAGGACTACAAAGGACCACTTCCAGAGAAAAGAGTTGATACAGGGAACTATGTATTGATTAGTTTCACATATATATCCATGTCAAATGTTGGCCTTCTCTAGTGTGAGGCTGGGAGGGAGGGAGGAACGGAGGGATGGAAACAGCTTGGAACCCAAATGTAACCAAAAAAAAAAAAGGCATGTAAGCAACTTAAATGAACTTAAGCAAAACGAAGTAAGCAGAACTGGAAAAACGATATGTATGATGACTACAATAGTGGTCACAGGAAGAACAACAAAACAAAACAGAATTCTGTGAAATCATAATGACCTAGCTTGGTCCCAAAGCGATCTGAGAAGACACCTAATTCCCCAGCCCTCCAGTGCAAAGTTTAGGGACGAGAAGAGTGGAGCCCTACATATTTCTGACTTTTACAAAATGTTTGCTAGTTCTGCTGATTCATCCCCCCCTCCCCTTTTTTATTAAAAGTGGTTGAAGGAGGGGCAGCTAGGTGGTGCAGTGGATACAGCACTGGCCCTGGAGTCAGAAGGACCCAAGTTCAAATCCCACCTCAGACACATGACACTAGCTGTGTGATCCTAGGTAAGTCACTTAACCCTGACTGCCTCACCCCCCACCCCCCCACAGTAGTTGGAGGGAGGGAGGAGTGTCATATTAAAACAAAAAACATCAATAAAAATTTCTTCAAAAAAAAAGGAGCACAATAAAGGAGTACACTGAGCAGAAGAGATGGGAGTCGAAAACTCAACTGAATTACCCTCAAGGAAAAGGGACCATTCACTAAGTTTGATGGCAGAACACATCTTCCCTGAGGGAAGGGTCCAATCAAACTGAAAGAAAGGAAGAGCCCAATTTGTCAAGATCCAGCTTTATTGGTATCTAGTTCTCTGTGAATTTCAGAAGTGTAGAAAACAACTGTAAAGGAGCCAGTCACAAAAAGGTGAGCTGGCCAGTGGGATCAGTTTTGGGGATGGTGGTGGGTTAGGAGCTCCTCTTGGAAGGCAGGATGGTGTCCAGCTCATGGATGCCATCTTTGTCGATGATCCGGACGCTGAAGGATGGTAGGTTCAGGATGAAGCGCTTCTGGAGCTGCGGAAGAGACAAAGACCTTGACGACAAGCTCCATGCTGAGGCCAGAGGCCAGGAAGGCTGAGCAGTGTGCATGCCATCTAACAAGAGCCAGGGGATGCGGCTGGATGCCTGACCCAAAAGAAGCAAGAAAGCCCCAATCCTTCTGCCCTCCAACATACTGTCCCAGCCAGTTCCCAAGAGTTCCCTGGCCTGAGAGGCTCAGTTGGGAACACAAAGAGTGGGGTCTGGTCTCAAAGGGGTATGAGAACTTAGATTTGTTAAACCACTCAGCCTGTAGTACACAAATCTTCCTTACATTGTAGAAAATCTGTCTTGAACTAATATCTAATAAAAGAAAAAGCAGGCCAGGGGCCAAGGCAGTGCTCTTTCCAGGTCTCATTAGCCAACCTCCTAAAGCAAACTGAGAGCAAGTTCCTCCTTCCCACCTCAAACCCTCTCTCTCTCCCAACTCCCTTCTCCAATTCAGGTCAATGTGTCAGCAGGAATCATCTCTGCTTTCTAACAAGCATTTCTGTGTGAGAGAAAATTGCAAGGGGATCATCGTGGTCTGCACATTTCAAAGCAGATTTTGCTGCTATCCCAGCTGGGGACAACTGAGGAAAGGAGCTGGAGGAAATCACTGCTCCTGTGTGTCCTTCCTGGCATCCCCCTTTCCATAACCCTCCTCATGTGAGGAAGGAAGCTTCCCAGGCTTCCTTTAGGATGCTGCCATCCGCCCTGTTCAAACCTTCACACCTTGAGACCCCCAACTCCAGAGGAGCAAGAGAAGCACTCAAGACAAACACGCTCCCAGAGGCCTCCTCTATGGCTGAGCACCACACCCTAATCTCCACTTCACCAAAAGCCTGAGGTCAAGTGCCAGCCTCACACCGGGCACTGTGGAGCTTGGGTGGACAGTCTTTGTGAGCATCAGCAAACAAAGCAGCTCAGTAGCACATGGGAAGATTCTAAGTGTTCCCTTAAAGCTACCTCTGCACCCCCCAGCTGCCCTAGCCTCTCAGCTGACTCGATCAGGAAAGTATGAAAGAGAGTGTGTTCTCAGATGCTACTCCAGTAGGGAGATTGACAAACAAGGGGGGAGGGGGAGCAGAGGAAGCTGCTGCAATGGAGTGAATGCAACAGGCTTCTGGGAGATGATAAACTAACATTCTCTGCACACACGCCCTCCCACCCAGCTCTCCTACTAGTCAGACCATGGCGTGCTCTGTCCCTCATTCCAAGCTTGGGCAAAGAAAATTATGAAAGTTAACATACTGAGAAGCCTAAAGTGGTTGTTTTCTCCAGAAAGAGAGACAGCCAGTCTTCCATTTTTAGACTGTCATGTGCAACCCTGGGATGAGGGGCAATAAAGAGAAACCTTTCCCTCACCAGCTCAATGACCAAATGTTCTGAACATCCATCTCCACTTTGGCCCTTTCCTTTGAACGTAGACTTTAGACTTGTCTACACTCCCTACTGAAGGAATTTATTTTATCTACACTCCATAACGAAGGAAACCTATTTAAGAAATCACTCACACCTAACGGCTACCATTGATAGAGCACTTTAAGGTCTGTAAAGTGCTTGATAGAATTTACCTCATTTGACTGATGTATGTTTTTTAAAGAGGTCAAATCTGAGGGTCACAGTAGATACAAAGCTTAAAAAAGTGCCATACGCAGCTGGCTGCACCAATAGGATGTCAAGTTTAGAAGAGTCAGCAGTGAGGAAAAGCAATTAAGCTGAAGAGTTTACTTTGGGGAGGATGTGAACCATGCTAGCAAAGATAACAAGGTTGCTACCCCCCAAATCCTCCCCTCAGTAGCCACTCCACATCTGGCTAGTGGGTATTTATTACGCCTTCTGGCAAGGACAGGAAAAAAAATGCGACTGAGGAACAGGAAAAATATTGGCAAACACAAGCAGACAAACATTCCTTTCTCAAGATCACATGGGAGCCACTCACCTCTTCCAGACATTTCTTCAGGAGCTCTACTGCCTCCTCACGTGTGATACCTGAAAGAGAAAACACAGACACACTGCTACACACAGGTTGCTTTAATTATAGCCTAACTCTCCTACCCCAAACATTTTATTAAATTCAAACAGCTTTTTCAGCTCAGTGCACACACGACCAAAAGAAAAGAGTTGAAGAAAAACTCCCCTTCCAACTTGGAGCAAACACATTCCATATGTACTCCAGGGTGCCCTGGACCCGAGTGTTCCCACTGCCACAAGCCATTGCAAATCGATTTGTTACAGGGAATGGGAAGCATGACGGAATTTTGCCTCCCATGGCCAGGGATCTGCCTTTGGAGAAGTCCAGCCGTCTCTCTCCCCTTGACTTTATTACGGATTTAAATCAGCTCCATCTGCCTAGGGCCGGCTGCAAGTTAAGGGGAAAAGCAGGGCCTGGGTTTCAGTGCTACTTTCCCTGCTGGGTATTAAGTATAACAATAGGGAAGGCACGTGTGGGCTATCTCTGTGATTCTCACACATTAGGGCGAAAAGGAGCTCTCAATGGGGATGGTAAACTGGGATGACATGTTGTGCAATTAGGGTTTGGGGGGCTTGGGTTTTTTCGTCCTTGTTTTTGGTGGGCAGGCTGGAAGAATCACTGATGAGTCACAAAAGAATTACTAAAAGACAAGGGCTAGTAACGTCTTAGACAGAGATTATAATGCTGGTTTGGTTGAGCTTATAGGAAATGGAAACAGCAACAAATGGAAACAATTCATTTTTATTGTGCTTGATGGAGAGGGAAAGAGGAAAATTTGGAGCAAAAGTTATCTGAACTCATGGCCAAGCTAGGGCTCATCACAAACTAAGGCTATCAGAACCACCTGTTCCTTGCAATTGTTAATGCAGGCGCTAGGATGCACAGCCTTGGGCTGGAAGGAAGAAGGAGCTATAAGGCCAGAGTCAAACACAACTCAGGATCCCGATGTCCATGATTTTTGTTGCAAGTTGATTAGTAGGTCTAGACAAAACAGCACCTTACTGATGTCAGTGTCTCCCCCACCCCTAGCACAAGGTTTGCACACAGTTTAATAATGTTTGTCAAACTGAACTGGAAAACTACTCTTGCTCTCCAAGGGGAGACTGCTAGTGGTCAATACTGATCTAGAGGATAGGGTAGATATAGAAATGATGGGTCAAAAACGGGTTAAAAAACCAGAGCCACAGCTCGCTCTGGGACTTTCATGGCTCTCTGTCTCACCCACTCTCCCCAGGCCACTGAATTCTTAAGGCAATTGACTGACCACCTGTTCAATTCCATGGGAGCTGTAGATCGGGTGCCAATGATGCACAGAGGGACAAAATGAGAAACAAATTCCAAATGCTGAAGACCAACAATGCCAAGGCTTGTTAAACACAGGTTTGCCAAAACGAGAAGATCTGATTTAGTAAAAAAGCTCTGCCTATCAGCGACATTTCTCAGGGAAAAAAAAGACTGTTTCGCTGGCAAGATAAAGAGGTTGCTTCAGATTTCTGAAGAACACCAAGACCCACATGACATGATTAAGTGCATTTATCTGGAAGGAAAACACATCATTAAGACTGATGCTTCACAGACTCTCTGGGCTGGTCACCTTGCCCTGCCTGTCTCTCAGTAAGAGTGCCCAAGTCATCATGCAGACTCTGTCCGAAGACCTTCTGTGACAGAGAACCCATTACCCCCAAGCTGCTCATTCACTTCTGGACATCTCTGATGAAGAAGTTCTTCTTTATCTTGAGGCTAATTCTGCTTTATTTTACTTAGTGGAACAAGATGAATCCTTGGTCACCAAGCTAGTCCTTCCAATACCAGCTGGCTTCCATTTGTGCCAGTCAAATACCATCGGTCCAGCCCTGGTGACCCATCTTTGTGTGCCAGTGGACAGCGCTGAGAACCAGCCAGATGCAGCTCTGCGGTTTCCTCCAGCGAACACTGTTACTTACTTGGTTTGTAATAACGATCTAGGATGCTGAGGGTCAAGAAGGCGCCATAACCATGGGCTGCAAAGGGAGCTTTGGCTAGGGCTGCCAGGTAGTCCATATAGTACAGTGCGGGGCCTTCATGCTCATCATAGCCGGCCAACAGGAGGTTGACATGGTATGGGGTCTGTGGAAGAAAACACGGCACAGCTTTGCTTTAAAGCACCAATACGAACTTGCTTTTTCAAGTCAATGGTGTTTCCCCAAACCCTCCCACTGAGAAGAAGATGTTCCTTAGCAGCTGAACAAACCATCCTTCAAAGACTATTTCAACAGAGAACCCAGGATGAGGAAGCTGGGGGTAGGGAGACGCAGTGCTGCTTTCTTCTAATACAAGTGCATTTTTGGCATACTGCTGTTGCCTCGAGGCCCATCTCCAGAGAAGGCTACAGAACAAGAGTACGTGGTCAGCTTCCAAGATGAAGCTCGGACTCCACTAGGAGCCCTGCACGTCCAACACTAAGGAGGGTGGCAATCACAAACGTGGGAGTGTACTGGCCCAAACCAGGCCTTTCATTATTAATGTTTAAGACCCTGACAGTTGGACCAAAATAGTACATAGTGGCCTGGCTATTTATATAAATGTGAAAGAAATTATGTTCACCAGAGGCATTAACAATCAATGCTCACCTTGTTCTATGGGGGAAAAGGGAAGAAAAGAGGGATGGAGGAAGTTCTTAAGTGTAAAAAAACATTAGACAAACAGAAGAGCTACATCCTTAAATGAAATGCTGTAATTTTTCTTCAAGAAACCAAGGTTTTAAAAATAATTTCTAAGGCTGCTTGGAACTCATCTGTATTCTTTCCCATTCTTGATACCCTGTAGTCTCAGACGCAGCTCTGGCAGGGAAAATTTGGAGAAACTTACCTCATTCTTCACATCCAAAAGAGACCACCCATTTGTACTGCAAGAGCCTGGAAATTTACCGCATGAAGTTCATAGAATGGCTAATGCTTTAAAGCCCTTGCTAGTGATCTTCCATTTTACACGGTTTCATTTTTTTCTACATAATATGTATTCATCTTACATTTGCTGCAGTGGGGAACCGTGTATATATATGGTTATGCATGTATTCTAAAACATATGTGATTATATGCACATTACTCTCAAAGACCTTAACACGCTATCATAGAGCACAGAATGATACAAGTTCATGGAATTGGATTATATGCCTATAAAAAGTGGCATTTTACATTTTTGAGTACTAAATTATTAATACAGATATTTGGCAGCCAGAGAAAACCACATAAGAGCGAATGAAAATATTATGCATTCATTAGAAAACTGAAGTAGATTAGGTGGCCAGCCTAAGTAAGAGGGCTCACTAAATACCTGCTATAGACTAGAAAACAGCCCTAAACCACAGGGTTTGATCAAGCTGACAGAGTCCTGAAAAAAGACAAACTCACAAGTTATTGAAACTTCCACTGCTGGCCCATCACATTTTCAGAGAATATATTAAGAGACAGCAAGAGTCCAGAGACTCTTAGGTTTTCAATCTGGTTCAATGTTCAACTTTCTAGCAAATCTGAGTTGGGGTGAGACATTCCTTTAATTTCTATGTACCGATTTCCTCATCTATAAAATGGAATTAATGACCCTTTCTTTTTTTGACCTCTTTGTAAGTAAACATGCTTTCCAAATTCAAAGAATATTCAAGACTATGACTGGTAGCTTAGTGTTCCCACAAGAACAAAATGCTTAATTAATCTAGATGGATAGACAGAGAGAACTGAATAACTTTTGTGTCTGTTTTGCACCTAACACAGTCCTACAAAATAGGTATACACAAGATAGTTTGTTGCTCTTACAGTTAAAATTAGAATAGTACTTTTACTATTTACTTGTCTCTACTACGGCTTCTTTTGTTGACCAATATCAGCCAAAACTGTTTGGTCCCCTTATTTGTCCCAGAACACAAAACATGTGCATCTTACAGCTTTAAATGGTTATTTGTCTTCTGTTGACTGGCCCAATCCCAGTGGCCGGAACACTACAGGGCAGCAGTCTACATCATAGCTCCAGAGCTGCAAAAATGTACTTAAGATCAAACTTGGAAAACACAAAGCGCTCAGACTGCTGAAGCTAGGCATTTCATGAGGATCTTGCCTGCTCTACCCTTTCCTATTAGATCAAAGTATATTTACAACAAATACAGGAGATTAAAAAAGGCCACTATCAGAAGATCTTGGATGGAACCCTATGTCAAAAGAATTCCAGATGTAAGTTGTTACATAGATGCATCGCTTAATTGGTCTACATAATTTATTTATGCTTAAGCATCTGACATGTACTCACTAAAGTTGGTATTCAGAAGCCACCACACGAGGTACAGAAGATAACTCACAAATTATTGTGTGACTCTGAATTACCAACTTTTGTATGTGTGAGATGCTTAAGCATAAATAAATGGTGTTATCTAGACTAATTAAATCGATACATCTGTGAAACAACTTGCAGTTTCTGACATTCTTCTGACAGTGCTTCATGGAAGAGCTCTAGCTCACACTGTCTTTTTAAAATTTCAAATAAAGTCTTGTGTGCCATCACATTCTCACTCCTCTAGAAAGGTGGCATTTTAAATACTGAATACAGGGTTATGCTTCCCCACCTCTACACCTTCATGTTCTCGACTCAGTGTCTCTCTAAAACAAGATCATTCCCAATCCATTTTCTACAAACAAACCCCACATTTGACTCCTGTTTGTCTGTTTTGGAAAATATTCCATATATGTAAGCAGGTACAAGTGATCCCATAAGTATTAATGATGTTGGGTTAGCATCAAACTTGAATGTGTCACACATTTCAGCAATAAGCAGTTAATGTTTAATAGTGAAAGAAGTTAACAAGCATTTTATTAATGAAGACAGGGAAAGAGTGACTGATTGAACCAATTAAATCACATCAACAATTGAGAAATTGTCCAATTTTGATTTAACTCATGAGTATTATGAGAGGTAGTGTAACATAAATAATGGAAAAATAACCTTAGAGTTAGGAAGATCTGGGTTCAAGTCAAGACCCTTATTAGCTGTGTGACCACGAGTGAGTCCCTTAACTGCTCAGTGATCCACATAGCAAGCTCAGTGACCCATGTGGCATGCCCAAAGGAGAAGGGGTAGATCAGTGTAGGTGGAGAGAGGGAGTCTCTACTCTGAGTTCCCAGGACATTTGAATATTACAAGCCCAGACCCTCACCAATAAACAGTATTACATTTATTGTTCCTTTCCTTAGCCTCAGGAGAGAACTTCTTATATCAGCTCTTAGATGATTATTGCACTGAGCAGATACTTCCTGTTTTGGCTAGGTCCAGGCATTCAAAACTCAAAGAACAGGCCCAAAAGGTATTTAAATCTCTCAAGGCTAATTCCTCTCAGGCCTTAATGTAAGCATGTTTACTATCAGAAACATTTCTACAGAAAACTCATGGAAATAAGGCTCATAGCAAAGCAATCCCTTCTGTGCCTGACACTAATATGGATCAGGTACCTACAAACTTAGGGGCGTCAGCTCAGGTTGTATGCAGTGGGAGATTCCCTGGAAGGCAGATACACAACGTGTAACATCCTAAATATTCACCTCCATTTCTATTTTGTCAATAACTATTTGTATATGCCCATACGTTTAGCACTGCTCTCCCCTCCCCCCAACAGGGAAGTTAGAAAGTCCACTCTCATTCTAAGTGCCTACACATACCCCTGTAATGCCAACAGCTGTTTTTTATTTTGTGCTGCCATTTTTAACTTTATTTCATTACGTGAGAACTTTCCCAATTAATTTATAAAAGTGGGCAGTTATCAGTCATCACTGGATGCTCAATCCCACTTCACAAAGGAAGGAGACAAGCATTTATTAAGTAACTACTATGTGCTAGGCTCTGTGCAAATGTCCATTTATACCTCACAACAACTCTGAGAGGCAGGTGCCATTATTACCCCTATTTTACAGATGAGGAAACCAAGGCAGACAGTGTCTAAGTCACGTGCCAGGGTCCCACAGCTAGTAAGCATGTGAGGCTGGATTTGAGCTCAGGTCTTTTTGATTCCAGGACCAGCACTCTGTGCCCTCTGGCGCCCCCAGCTGTGTGGTCTGCACAACTTTGTATTGGATTACACTGTGCCATATTCTCTAAGGGTTCCACGTCTCTTGCTCTTGCCTCCCTAGTTAAACAAGGTCTTCTGGATTGAGACACTATCCTTGACTTCTTTTGAATTATTTCCAGCATCCGGTCCAGAGCTTGACACAAGGGAGTGAAATTACCACAAGCATTTCATGTGAACATTTCAGTTCATGCCATCACTGTCAATGACAAGTTAGGGGCTTACTGTATAAATATGAATACAGTCTGTTTTAAAGTCAAGTCCGTTTCAGCACCCAAATGAAGAAAGAGGGACTGTTCTGGTGATCCAACTAAGTTAATTTCTGAATCTGAAATAATAGTGGAATCAGAAGATCTGGGTTTTTGAATCCTGGCACTGCCACTTACTTAGTCACTCACTTTCTCTAAGTCTCAGGTTCCTCAGACATAAAATAGGGATAAAAGTACTACTTACATCTCAAGACAGGTGAGACAATCAAATGAGATAAGAGATTTAGGCACTCTAAACTGGCATGCAAATATAAGGTATTATTACTATAAATCTAAAACATTTCCCATAATCTGTAAGGGAAAAAAAATGCTAGGAAAGTATACTAGTAAATTACAAATTGCCTTCTTTCTTATCTTAACAATGCAATGTTTATTTAAAATGTACCACTTTTCTGATCTTTCTTTTGTATCCTATATCTGAATGAACAGCTGGACATCACAGGGGAACCACTGAAATGACAAAAGTTCCCTGAAGGTTGAAATATAAGGGTAGGGGAATGGCCATTAAACATATGAACCCTTGAAAAATAGCGTGGAAAGAACTGGAGATGGAAGATCATAGTTCTGGTCCCCATCCTGCCACTCATTTGACATGGGTCCACAGGCATGCTCCTCCTTCTTTCTGGGACTCAGTTCTCTCCACTGTAAAATGACTTGAGCCTCTCTAAGATCCCTTCTAACCAGACTACCATATGATTCTTTACCTACTTCTTATTACTCTTTAGGCATTCTGGAAAAAAATCGCACCCCCCCCC